GTTCCTGAAGAAACAGACTCTTAACTATAGAGAACAAACTGATGGTTACCAGAGGGGAGGTGGTTGGGGAGATGGTTGAAATAAGTGATGGTGAGTAAGGAAGGCACTTGTTATGATGAGAACCAGATGATGTATGGAAGTGAGGAAATCACTAAATTCTACACCTGAAACTAATATAACACTGTATGTTAACTAACGAATTAAAACAAAAACTTCAAAGAAAGAAATGGAAATTATGAGGTCATGGAAATTTTAGTTAATGCTGTGGTGATAATCATTTTGCAATATATAAGTGCATCAAGGGGTGCCTAGGTGGCTCAGTGGTTAAGTGTCTGACTCTTGGTTTTGGCTCAGGCCATGATCTCAGGGTCATGAGACAGCCCTGTGTGGGCCTCAGCGCTCAGCAGGGAGTCTGCTTGAGATTCTCTCTCTCCCTCTCCCTCTGCCCCACCCCTCTAAAAAATAAGAGTATCAGATACGCACACTGTACACCTTAAGCTTATATATAAATTATATGTCAGTTACATCTCAATAAAGCCATCTATATTCTATCTCCCTCTCACGGTCTTCTAAAACAGAGTAAGCACTCTACAGGTATTTTCTATTATTGGTGTTGCTTTCTATGACTGAAATACTCTTCTTCCAGATAGTCTCTTATTTTGTTCTCTTCCTTCAAGTCTTTGCTCTAATTTCACTCTCTTGGTAGGATATTCATTGAACACCTTATTGAAACTTGCAACTCCTTTAGTCTCGATATTCCATTCTCTCTTTTAATTTTTCCCATAGCTTTTGTCATCTTTTAATAGACTATTTAATATACTTGCTTATTTTGTTTACATTCTTTCTGTGTCCATTAGGACATAACCTAAGGTGAAGATTTTTGTTCTCAGTATTTGTTAGGTCCAGAAAATAGGTCAGTAAGTGTTCAGTGAATATTCATGGAACACATGCATAAATAATAACTCCAATTTTTATGACTTCTTGATTTTTGCAGTTTCAGGCCCTAATCATTTCTATCATTGTCTAACATGATTTTAATCCCTTATTTAGATGAACCATTCTCTCTCTCTCTCTCTCTCGTGCTAGGGACATTGTTAAAGTTTTATTCTCCATGTATATTGTTCTATGTCATCAAACCCTTTGAGGTTGTATGATGGCTTCCCAAACAGACATGGGAATGGGTTTTATGTTACTTAAATTACTTTCAAGAACTTTCACAAAATATTCTAGTTTTTGTAGCTCTCCCATTGTATCATATACTTGATTCAGTTACATCTACCCATTTATTATTCATTATATCTATCTATTTCAATTTTCAGCTATTTATATCTATACATTTTATAAGTTTTTTTTAGTTATATCATATGCCTTATTAAATTCCAGAAAATTTCCTTC